GAACAAATTGTGCTATTCCTTTGCAAGCACTTCTCTGCTGCATTGATTCTAGTTTGATTTGGATTGAGAATTTCCTGATGGAAACTAAACATGTAATAACACAGTCTTGCTATAGTAATTTTTTCTGATAAAAATCACTCCTTTCAGAAGCAGCAAAGAAAACTAAGTACTGCAGCAAATGAACCATGCAAAATTATTTCTTCTCCACACTGATGACAGGAAGCATTTAAAACAGCTTTAAATTGTTTATTGTACGGGCATAATGGCACATGGGGCAATTAGTCCAGCGTGAGATCTCCTTTGAGGCTGTATTATTTATTATTATTTAAAGATTTGGGGGAGCATCTCTTTCTGTGGTGGTTAGGTGCTTATTTGCTCATTAAAATTAATAAATTACATTCACTTAGAAATAACTGCCCACAATGCTTGCAATTATAGACAAAGACATTTCATCAGATTGAACAGAAAAACACATCAAGACAATAATCAGGCTAAACCTTAAACTCAGCATCCTATCTACAGCCCAAAGTCTTGATAGACTCAAATGTTGTCAGAGAACTTGAGAGCACAGAGCTGCAGTTCACTGGCTGCTGTAGTCGGCATTTCATGCAGGCTGGGTTAGCAAGTTTAGATCTGAACTAGCAGGGACAGTGTTATGCCTCAAATAACAAGTCTAGGCCCAGTCTAAAGGCTTCTTTCTTACATAACAGCTTGGCACATTAGACACACACTGGGACTAATGTGGTTTTGTGCAGGAAACCAGATATCCTCCGATCTGAAGCTCTTTACAGACTTTGCTTTACATAAATGGATCAAACCATAGAACACCCTTAACTTCTGCTGCCTAAAGGCCTTGGCAAAGATGTTGAGGCCCTTCTGAGAATCTGAACCAATGTTCTCACCCACCAAAAATGTGAATTTAACAGAAATGGGATGCCAGATCAAGCACGGAAGCCCTGAGGCACTTCTGTGAGGCAGGTAAAGGGTCTTTTGAGAACATTGTAAGGAAAAAGCTAAAATCAAAGTCTTCCTCCTTGTAAATCCAATTGAGCAGTCCCAGAACCAGCACAGAAAACCATGTAGCAGACAAGTGATGGATTTGGCCTCAGGCCACACAGCCACTCTTGCCTGACAGGCTGAGCCAAGATGTTATCTCCACCTCTGGTTTTGAGAAGGAAAGTTCTTAAAAATTCATTAAGCTGTAAAGTGAGCAGAAGAGATGGGCTAGTGATCAGGAAACTCACCTGGGAATGAAAAATCCTGGGTAGCACACTGTGCTTTAAGGTCCTTGGAAGGAAAAGTGTTTAAGAGAAATCCTTAGACAGCTACATCTAAGGCTATCCAGGGTCTTCAGGTCTATGAAAGATTTATTAATGCAAAAGCTGTCAAAACATCACGATGAAAATGAACACTAACTAAATAATTCACCACATACATTTTCCTGCTAATTAAAGATTATAATCAAAAGTGGTAATGATTTTTGCAATCATGAGTTAAGTGTGTGGAAGGAAAAAGAACTCTCAAAGGATTTTTATTGGAATCAGTTCTAGGGTGTTGAAATAAGGTTGAAAGAAACAGAACATAAACAAGTGTTAATTAATCAAGCATACTGATAGCTCAGTATCTGCTTTTTCACAAAATTCTAGGCAGTTCTGTCATTCCCTCTGCAAAAGCTCCTTTATACACCATGTGACCCCAAGTAAATTTTGTCTTACTTTATGAGTCTCCAAAGCTGGAAAAGGATCTGATCATATAAATCAAGACATTCAAGGCTAGTAATACTTTTTGACAGCAACCAAATTTAAAATGAAAATAAATAAAATATTTATTTGATTGTCCGAAGCGGTATCTAGCTACCAAAGAAAAGAGCACCTCTTTTGATTTAATCAGACATACCATCACCCTACAAAACAACCTTGTAAGAGAAGGGCAAGGTCAGAGGAAGCCTGAAAAGAAAAGGTATGTCTCTCCTTATCTTTGGTAAAGTCTGTTGGGGTAATTGCATCCAGTGGCCATGAAGAAAACGGTAAGGCTGTTAATAATTGCAGTGATTCACACTTGAATTCATCCTAAAATATAACCTGGCAATAGCACAAAGTATCTGTAGGTACCAGGTGTAATCATGATGAAATCCTGTGTGCTCCACAGAAGGAGGTAGAACATTCTCTCTCCTTTGAATATATAAGCAAGGCTATTGTGAAAGGCAGCACTGCAATTCAGCTAACTAAAGAATGTGTCAAATGGATCCTGATGCACTTGATGTGTTATGATAGTCAATGATTTTAGGCTTTAAAAAATAAGTGATATGTATTTTATCTGTCGATATCTGTATGCTTCATGCAAGGTAAAGATTTCTGTGCAGGAGAGAGAGATAACATCAGTTCACATTTATAGGGAAAAATCAGAAGTCCGCTGAGGGATGCAAACTCATATCCCCTTGTGGTCCCTTAGTCCACCAACGTCCCCATTTGTCCTGGTTATGTAAAGTTATGTAAAGTCCTAATGAAAGTAAATTCAAAAATTCATCTTGTCAGAAAAAATATGGAAAAAAATAACATCTTCTCTGGCTTTTTGCTTCGTTTGTGTTCAATTAAGAAAAGAAAAATTGTTTTACATGAAGGAAATTATAATTTACTCTTCTGCAAAATTATTTCCTTCTAAGTCATTCAAGATGAACTAGAATTGAAATGCTAAATAAAGTTGAATAAAAAATTATTAAAATGAGCAGAATGAAAAAAACGTTGCGCCACATGAAGAATATTTTACCGCATGTTTTAAGATTACTTATCAATTAATACTTTAGAACCAGAATGTATCAAATAGGAAATTTTTCCTGCTAAAAATGAACAAAATGGCATGCATTATGTCAAAGTAAGATATTTTTCCGGTGTTTGAATATCTCAATGTCTAAGAGTTAAAAATGGACCTGATCTGAATGTGTTAGAGATTGACTTTCCTATTTCAAGAAGCTAGTGTCCTCATCTCTACCCATGTGAAATGAATACAAATCACTGCTGAGAAAACAGATTTTAAAAATGCTTTGGGAGAAAAACTGTTCTGGAAAGGATCTCAAGATGTCACTAGGTCATTCAGGCAAGATCAACTCTACTTGAATTATGCCTTACTGATGTTTGTCCTACTTAAAAATGTTCTCAGTAAAGTTTCACTGATGGAATTAATCAATAATAAAGACAGAAGGATGGGGAAAGTTTACTAATTTTCATTATGGCTTAATTGTTTTGAAACATTAATAATTTTATTGCCTATAATCTTGATGGAAAGATGCACCCAGGGAATTTCTAGAAGATATTAACTGTGTTTTCATCGCACCGTTGCACTGATTTGCAGAGGTGAAACAGTCTCTCAGTTACAATGATGAAAACCTGATTTATTTCCTGATTAGTCCTGATTCCTCTCACTGTGATATTAAAGGCACAGTGTGGTGGTTGGCAGACCATTCCTTACCAAGGCACAATCTCCTTGCATCAGCCCAGAGTCAAAGGAGCAGGAAAGGACCCTGCCGACCCACAAAGGTCTGACCCATAGAACCTGCAACAGGAACATCCCACAAATGCCATAAAAGAGAGTAACAGCAATTCCTCCTCCAAAGCCTATCTCATGCCTTGTACACATTGGCAGTCCCATCCATGCTGACTGGGCTGCAGAATCAATGCCACAGCAAAAAAAAAATTTTTAAGGCATTTTGTGAGCAAGGAAGCCATGTCTAAGCTTTCACTCATTCCACAGGAAAAGGCAGCAAGTATTTTCCTTCATGTAATTCATTTGGGATGCTCAAGGTGAGACATTTCCAGGGTCAGATTATTTTATCTTAACTAAGGATCAGTATTTGCAGGTTAAAAGAGATTTACTGTCACCTAGTAAAAATAGAAGGTTGAAGGAAAAAAATCTCAGCATGGAGGCTGATTGCACTGATGCCTTTGGAAGTTAGGGTGTACTCAAACCCACTACAGAGATGAAGTTACACATTTCCATTTAATAGTCTTTAAAAATACTACTGTGGTTTGTGCGGGGTGGAGCACTGGTGCCTACACAGACGTTGTTCTGCTGCTATTCACCTTCGCATAGGTAAATTTATTTAAAGGAGGTCTTTTGTACTTTTAATGATTGAGTGAGGGTTTTTTTCCTGTGGGAAATAGCTTTTAGGAAGTTGTGAATTGCCCAGTTCCTTGACTGAATAGTAAATGTTTTCTCCCTTCAATTCAGAGAACAATTTTCTGCCTGTTCTTCTGCTGCCATTGGAGCACTGTCCTTGTCATGGCTGGGACTTACTCTCTTCCTGAAACCAGCAGTCTTTTTTGCTTTCTCAAAAGGAAGGTGCTGATCAAATTCCATTGTCAAAGACTTTCCCCGGATAACCCTTTTTCACCTTCAGTGCATCCTCCCAGCATCCCACAGATCTTTAACTCAAAGGAATCCACCTCCTTCCTGGAAGAGTGATTCTTTTTTCCTACTGTTTTACCAAATGAAAGTTGAGGGCAGGTCTTTGAGGATGACACAGGAGGGGTGAGAGAGGCTGGGAAGCCTGCAGCTTGCAATCAGGGAGTAAAGTTGTTGGAGAGGATTGAGTTAAACAAAATTCTAACATTTCATGGATGATTCTACATGTTCTAATGTAAGTCTCTCTCCTCCTCCTGAAGCAGAAGCAGGCTGTGGTGGGACCTTCAGAAAGGAGATCTCATTCCCCATCTGGAACTGGGTTGCTGTAGTGATGCACAGAAAGATATAGAGTTGGCTTTCATGGCCTGGAAACAGTTTATCTGAAATGCTCTTACTCTAATGCATAATGTTTTACTTAAAAACAGTTGTCCAGTCTTTTAATTACCTCCTTCATTACTTCCTAGGGAACTAACTGCAAGCCAAATCACATTCATTAAATTTGAATTGTTTGGATCTGAGAGACCTTTTCTTCTGAGCTTTTCAAAGGTCTGGTACTGTGGAAGTTATCTGGTAAGAAATTGTGTGTTTCCCAGGAACCATACCTTCAGATTGCTGTGGCTCTTTTACACTTGATCATTAGATGAAGGCAGCAGAATCAAATGTCGAATTCAGCTTGATACTTGTTTGTAAGCAAGGTCTTCAATACTGAGTCTGTCCATTGTAAATGGATGTTTCCTTTTGTTTTCATGAAATCTCCTGTACCTTCATTCTCTCCTCAGCTACAATGTCCACTCCAAATTGCTGTTGATCTCAAATCATATCAGTGTGCATGGTTCCTCCTCCTGGATGGCAAGTGGTTGAACAGTTTATGGATGCTGAGTTTGAATTCAGTGACTGCAAAACGTGGAGAGAGATCTCCTGTCTGAAGACAAAGTTTGGAGAGCACTTCAGTCTCTTGTGGCTGAAGTGATGGAATTTGAAGTGTCTAGAAATGCATCAGCTTTTCAGTCATTCTACCACTGCAGATGCCTACATGTAAAACATGATGTTTTAAACACAACAACTGTGCAAAGGGACACCATGTCTCAGGAAGGAGGAACAGCTTCTAATATCCATAATTCTCTTTGTTTTGCAGTGATTTCCTTTTGGCTTCACGTAAGGGGGCAGCAAAGAGAGTTTATAATCTGATTGAGGTGTGAGCAGTGTCTCCTGCTTGACTTACGGAACAGTTCAGTCTGACCCCAGAGCTGGTCAGTTCAAACTCTGCATTCAGAGCATTATTGATAGAAAAGCAAGCTTCTCATGTAGGCAGCTATTACTACCCAGTGCTATTACTACAAGCAATGTTTAACCCAGCAAAAATCCCAGCGAGAAGATGGTTTAAAATGGCCAATTCCTTTGCAAAGGTATAAATCTCCAGCAATCAGTGGAGACTTAAAATTCATAAACAATATACACACAGACAAATAAAAAATAAAATTTAAAAAAAGGCAAAGATACTTCACTATTTACCTGCACATATAGTGAAAAAGATGCCTGAAGGAAAGGACTTGTACTCATGTGATGTGATTGTAGAGGAGCAGGAGGGTCAGAGGAGGCAGCAGAAGGTATCATCTCCTCCTCCTCCTCATAAAAGAAGGCAAAGCTGAAGTTCTCAGGAACAGTGAAAAGATTCTTGATGGTTTTATAAGAAAATTGGAAGAATAAATAAGTAAAAGTGCCAGTGTCTTGAAAGGTTCTCAGGCAGCAGCCCCTGCTGCTTAGCCTGATGCTATGCCATTAATATGGAAAGCTTGCAACACATCCTGTGGCACTCCACTGGCAGAAGGCAACCTCCCAGCAGCCAGCCTTGTGCAGCCAAGGATCAGCTCTGTGATTCTGGGGAGCTGACAAACATCCCCAGCCCAGCAGGAGTCCCTTTCTGAAGGAAGGGAGAGCAGCAGGGAGTGCAGGCTGCAGCAAGGCTGCCTTCAGGAAGCTCATGCCATCAGCTGCTGGCACGTGATGTCTGTAAGTGAGCTGGGATGTTGGCAATGGGTGTTTCTGTATCTCACAGCCAGCAAAATAAGTGGGGTTTGGAGTAGGTCTGAACCTCCTTGCATGAGGCACATAGTGATTTTGGGAATTTTATTAAATATTTCAGGTATCCCACTCACAAGCAAAATTTGTGCCTTAAATCCAGTTTGTCTCTCAGCCACATGCAATTCTTGCAGATTTCAGGACTGCAATTCTGAGTGCTGGTGGAAAAAAACTTGGCTTACAGAACAATAACACCACCATTCAGTGGTAAATCATTACAAGAGGCTGATATGACCCTTCACTGGGTCATGGGTCTGAAATAATTCATTAAACATTTCTCACTGTTCACTTAAATTAACAAAAGAATGGGAGAATGTAGAGGCTGAAGTTAACAATAGCTGAAATCATTCTTGTTGTATAGACCCAGATCCACAGTAATGTAGGCACTTGGCTCTGATGAAATCATCTCTGTGATGTTAACTGTGATGGACCAATCCCTAGAGTTATGCTATCATGTCTAACATTAACTCCTGCACCTCTCCATGTGCAAACTGAAAGCCATGCTAGGGAAATAAAAAGTTCCCCTGTGGACTATAATGATAACAAACAAAAGAGATTGGCCCTGAGGCACTTGCCCCTCCAAATGACTGCCCATTTGAAGTACTGTATTGACAGAGTTCCCTCATTCCCCACTTAGAAACCTCAGGTCAGACCTTATTTTAGAAGGTGAATTGGAGGTTGTTTTAAAAGGTGAGCTCTGACATGACTCTATTTTCTGAAGCCTGAGAACAGACAGGTTTGCAAACACTGCCATAGTGCTTTCTTAAGCAGAGACAGCTCTTTTGTTTCCCAAAAGCATAATGTGGTTGGTCTCCCTGAATGCAAGTTAAAACAGAAATCTAAACTAGCTGAGAGAAGAAATTGCATTAGTGTAATTAGAAGTGTTCAGAAATCCTTTTCTTGTTCTCTAGGTACATGAGAGGACAGAGTAGGAAACAGAAAGCAGGAACAGGAGGGTGTTCAGCTTCTGGGTAATATGCTACATTGTTCCCTGAATAAGACAAAGGTGGAAGATGCTGCTTTGCAAGGCAGCAGAGGAAAGCAGTGGCATGAATTTCCCTCCCCCAGATATTTAATTGCACACCAGCAAGAGCTACCTCAGCCAGTTCTCAAAATAGTACAACTCTAAAGACTTATATACAGAGGGCATCTATCTCCTTAATATCACACCCTTGGAAATGGAAATTATTTGATTTTTTTTCATTTAAATTCCTTTCAAGGGGAATGCTGCCAGCTCCCATAGACCTAGTGTTTACTGAGAAATTAAAGTTGTCATTTTTAGTCTCTCAGATGTCAGTGAAAGTTAAGGAAAAGGCTGGTTTGTTTACATTCTTAGCATGATGGTGGAGAGTAGCCAGCATTTAAAAGTTCATCTTTCCTACTCTTTCTCACATTGCATGATGAAAATAGAAATAAAATCAATTTATCTCCAGGAAGATATGTAAGATTTTGTCAAATGAGCACAAAACCCAGGTCATTTAGATATCCTCAGTGACTGCTGGTGACAGCAAAAATTCATGAAGAATGCATGTGCTTTGAGCATATCCAGAGAGAGATGAGTCCATCCATTTAGTAATTGTGCTTTACAGTCTGCTGGAGCATGAACTGCCCTATGCAGTGTCACAGAGACAAATCCCTGCATAACCTCCACTGGATTATGCCAAGACATCTGAACATTGGAAACCCCAGCACAGACCATCAGCTCTCAAAGACTGGCATAAGGGAAGGCCTCTCTGAGCCTCAGAGACTGGCTAAATGCAGCCCTGCAACCCAAGGAAGCACCTGCCCATCCTTTTTGCAATCTGTGTCATCTGCATGCCAGGCTCCAGCTTAGATAATTTAACTGAATAAATATTTCATCAACCATTTTTCTTAGAGGAGGGGTGACCTGTCCCCGCTCACAGGGAGGGCAGTGAAATATGACAGCGATCTAAGAAATGCAATTCTCTAGAAGTTGGGGTGGGAGAGGGCACTAGTGGATAGATTAAGAAGCCTATTAAGTCCTTATTCTGAATTTTAACTCCCCTTTAAAAAAATACCTTCAGAAGCTACTTTTTAAGTCACTTAAAGGAAGAAGTTGCAAAAGAAAAGCAAGAATGAAAGTGTTGTATTATTCTGAAGGAATATTGGTAAATTTTGGTTCATTAATGCCTTATATTTTGAAGGACTGCTAAGTCTTTGAGAGCTGAGGTACAACCTGTGCACCAGAATCCTTTCATCGGCTAACCCAATGCAACTTTTTGACTGCATTCATCTACTACAAATGAGGCTTTAGGCTTAAAAGTAAGTAAAATTATTATCCATCATGGAAACTCCAATTAGGAGTCTATAGACACAATCCCCCTGTGTTGATGGCTTGTTGATGGCTTTTATAGCAATCCAAAGACACCCAGGTGTGAGACATTACTGTTCTATGTCCAGAAATTATTAAGAAACTATAGGATTCATCAGAAAAAAAAAAAAAAAAAAAAAAAAATGTTGTCTGCTGAACTGTAACAATTCAAGCTGTTTAACTTCCATCCTGAATCTTTCTTGGAGATCTGCCAGAATCTCTTGGTATCACAGTTACTCAAAATGTTTGGGTAGAGGAAAAGATGCAGATAGTCCTTGCTTACAATATAAACAATATATGTTTTGTAAGCAAGGTTTCCTCATGATGATTGAAAGTTTAAACTAAGAGAAGAAGCAGATGCAACAGATATAAACATTATATATTTTAGAGGCTGAGCTATCCTGCGTTCACGCTGCCTTGTGCACTGGAGTCACTGTGATGAGATTGAAGGGTTTTCTTTTGCAAAGAAAAGATCCTGATCCAAGCAATAAGGAAACTGAAGGCTGAAGCAGCAATTATCTTCTAGGGTAGTAGGTTTTTAGTTGCCTGGCAAATTGCAACATCCTCCCATCAAAGTGCATCCATGGGGAGAGATTTTCATGCAGTGCTTTCACATTCTACCTACATTGTCCCTGTCTGGCTTTACCAGTAACTCCTGAATTAACTATTTTTATGGAACTCAGAGAAACTCCATTTAAAATGGGACCCTGATTTATCTTTACTCCACCCTTCTGCTGTGTTTCTGGATTCGGGGATGATTTGGTTGTCTTGATATCGACAAACAGTTTTGGATAAAACACGTTTCTCATTTTCATAAATAAGGATTTCCACAGATCTGAAAATAGTTAGCTAATCAAAGTCCTTATTCAGGCATACTTGCTTGCTTGAACTGTATGTTGAGTACTCAGTTATATACCTTGCACACACATATATTGATACCTTTGCAGTATTGGTCCCATGATGATCCTCCCCAGTTCTGCTGGTTAAGCCCATTGTGAAATAGAGAAAAAATGTGGCAGAAGGAGTTGTCTCTTCTGCAGGAAGAGAACAGTAGAGAAAAATAGAGAAGGTTACAGCTGTGTCAGCAAAACTGAATACTAAATTTCCAAAACTTGTTCACTATGGCCATTCACACAGGACTGACTCCTCGCATAAAACATGAAGCTATCCTTGCAACAGACTTTTGTCATAACATGGATATAGACAAAAACAAACTTATCTACTTGATCACTAGCAGAGTTTTGTTTCAGCATAAAGACTGAAAGAATGCGGATCTCTTCACTGGGAACAAGGGAATGTTTTGATCATTGGGTTGGTTTTCTTAACAATAACAGTTTAAAAATTATATTTCATTATCAGTAATTTATATTATTATATATCATAATATATAGAACATATAAATAATATTTAATAATATGTATTATTAATGTATTGTACTAAATATTATTATTTATATTATATTATATTATATTATATTATATTATATTATATTACAACATATTTGCTGGTTTTGCTACCATTATTAGTAGTGATGGTGGTTGTTGGTTTGTTTCTTTTCTCCTTTTTAAGTGAAAATGCATCAGGAAAAAGCAAAGGTATGGCAAGACACAAAACAAGGGTCTGGTGAATGTTCTGCTTTCTTCCACCCATGATAAACAGGCAAGTTTACTGTGCAGGGCTTTGCTGAGTGAGAACCAAACAGCTTTGGAGTCTTGTGTGTAGTTCAGTGGTTCATCCAGGCTGTGGTGATCTGTACACGCTCATGTTGCCTTGTCGAGTTTGGGATTTGTACTTCACACCAGTGCTGCACCAAGACTCTTTGGAAACTCTGCCTATACAAATAATTCAGAGCAACAGTCCCTGTCCCTGGTTCTAGATCCTCTGGGAGGTCTTTGGGAACATTCTTGCTGATGTCTGTGGGAGCAGGATCATGTCCTGTGACCTTACCAAGTTTCCTATGTTTCTCATTCTCCCCTCATTTAAAAACCACTTATGAGATTTAACTCAAACTTTCCAAATAATTTCACTTTTAAATATAACCAAGCCTGGGAAAATTTCTTTTTACAATGGGAAATTTGGAAAAGTTTTATCTCTGCAGAAAAAAATACTGAAACAAGACAGTATAATGCAAGCTGTTATAAACCTTCACTCTTGTGTTTCTGTTAGAAACTGTTGTAATGACAAAAAAGAAAACCAGTGAATTATTGGAAAGAGATACTTCCAGATATGAAGCGAAACATTAAAATAAAGTAATTTCTATTTTTCATGGGTTGGGATTTGTGAAGCGAGAATATACATTTGTTAGACTGGTGGGAAAGGATTTTGACTGGCTGTGATGAGAAGTATGCACAGCACACAGGTACCTAGGAAGAGAAGGAACATGAAAGGCTTTTCCCATTGCAATGCATCTTGCTTGAATAGGCAGCTGACAGCACGCTGCTCAATTTCTAGGGCCATTGGTTGGGCACAAGGTAAAATGAAAGCCCCGTTTTTGATCTCCAAACACTAAGATGTTCATGTTCTTAGGGCACAACACTTTGACTAACATAAATAGCCTTGGAGATAACAGTCAGTGTTTCATCTCCACCTGGGGAAATTCAAAGCTTATTTGAAGAGTTTTTTTTATTTTCTTTTGTTCTACTTTCAGGAGAAGGACCCAATTCTGCTGTGGCATTTATTTAATATAACTGGTTTTAAGTGACTTCCTGCAGTTTTCATGTTTGAGATTTTAAAATGTTAAAGAAAACAGTGTAAAGCCTTTTATTCTCTTTGTCAGCATGAGAAAATAAAAATCATTAGATTTAGAATTCTAAATGAGAAGATACATCAAGGAGAAAATAGGCCACTAGTCTAAAGAAAAAGGATGTGATACTTACGCTCTTGGAAGGACTGGAAAAAAAAATAAAAACATTCCTCATACACAAACCCTTTAAGGCATTATGAATAGATCTTTAAAAATTCATATGAATTGAATTCAGACTTTCAAATTCCAGCCTGAGGTGACTTGGATTTCTTTGTTAAGTACATTTAAACAAAACTCTTTTTATGTTCTCCTAAACTAACAAGAATGAGGAAAAAAAAAATTAGAAATGTGAAATTGCTAATTCCTTTGACCCTAAAGGTCTTCAAATCTGTTTTTAAAGAAAATCTATCTATTAGTCTTCTCCAGAATTGCAGATTGAGAAAATGAAGGAGCTACAAGAACAGTGGCTTTGTACAAATGGATGATCTCATTATTTTTTTTCTTGTTGACTTGGACTTTCTTTTCCTCCAGGACGAAGTAGAATGAAAGGAACTGAAGCTGTTCTGGTCCTGTGAGCTCTCTTTCCCTGGGTTCTCACCGTGCCTAGAGGGAATTTTGCACACTGGCTGCAGGCCACTGGAAAGTCCTGGGGCCCCCATGCAGTGAGGGTACCCCCTCCTGCTCCACACAGCTGTGGTGGGATGGGGAGTGGGGTGACAATCACAAACTCCTGCGCTCACATTTCCAAGCTACCAACGCAGGCACTGAGTTCTGCTCCATCTGTCCCATCAAAGCTGCAAGCCTTCCCCTCTCCAAATAACCAGCAGAACACTTTGACATGCTGCAGCAATGTGTGAACAGCAAATCCTCGAAAGAACTCCAAGGGTCTGTTCATCATCTCAACGTGATTGCTACAGTCTAATCTCAGCCTGCATTCTTCTGTCCAGGAGGAAAACTTTATGATGGGATATCCTGACCAGAGAAGTTATGTCACCTAATTTTGAATGTCAAAGATAAATTGTTGCTCCAGTCCTGTACTTCAGCACAATGTCATAGCCAAAATCCAGAGCTCAGAGATAAAGAAAGGAGACACGGTGCCTGAAAGTGATTTCTCTCAAATCTTGCTCTGCCTGCATCTCTCCATTAGCTACTGGATCATACACATCTGAGGGGCAGACCCAAAACAGACCTGATCTGGCTCAGAATTAGAAGCCAGTGGTTCAAGGGTCTCCACAAAGCTCATTCCCAGAGGGAACTGGAAATCTAGCAGCAATTAGCTTTCTGCTTCAAATCAAGAAGGAATGGCGACTTTGATGGGATTACAGCTGGATTCAATTAAAATGTTTTCTGAATCTGATATTGTCCCTCCTTTTGCTACATACCAAGATGTCCACTGAATACCACTAGCCCTGGATCCTTTCTGGACACTTTTCTCAGCTGGAGCCAAGGCCTGGCAGTAGAAATGCAAGACAATTTGTTTTCAACTAATGGATATTATCAGTTGAATTGGTTGTTGTTATTATAGGACTTTTTGTTAATTGCTGAAAGTATTTGACTTGAAATTCTAGAATATTGCTTAGGGGCTTTTTATCAGTCCTTTTTTATCCTAGTTCTTAAAAGTTTTCAAAAAATTTTGCATTTTAGATGACTCAAAAAAAAATTACTTTCTCCTACCAGATGTATGAAAAAAAGCTTCTTATGTAGTCCTTCTTCTGTGTTTAACTGTATTATTTTTATTTATCTTCTTAAGAGTAAAAAAAAGAGTATTTTTTTAAAATATATATTAATATAAGTGTCTACTTGCATGGAGGTAGAACTTAAAGCCAAACAGTATTTAGTAACCAAAACTCTTTTTGCTGCTATTTTGTATGTGTCAGTTACAAATTCTTGATGAAAGAGCATAAGAAACTAGAAATGGAGACAGTGAGAGTCTTTCTGGCATCTCATCCCCAGAGTTTGTGTTACAGCTTTCTGTGGGAATATATACAGAGAGATGAACAAATCTGTGCTTCATTTTGTCACCATCCATTGGGAAACCTCTGCACTAATTTAAAAGCCTCAGAGAGGTTCAGAAGACTGGAAGGAAATCTTTGGAGGGATTTTCTCAGATGTGCAGCGAAGCTATCATACCAAGAAATGCACGCTGCTTTATATTTGATGTCTTGAATATTAAAGATACACACATTACAGGCAGTTTGTTCATAGTGTGATGACACACACACACATTTTTTCTGCTTGAGCAGAAGACTTTTCTATTAAAGATGCATTTTATGTGGATTACAAGCAAAATTTACTTTCTCTTAATCATAAAGTTCAACCAGAAGTCGAAATGTTTTAAAACTTGACAAGTTTCAAAAGTACTAATGAAGAAACAGAGCCAAAAAAATGAAAAGTAGTAATTATTTAAGCCACATATTGCACAAAATTTCTAAGCTAAACTATAACAAAAAAGAACTAATTCAAAATAAAGAAATTGCTGGTCTTAAGGTGAAAGTTAATATAAAAAGATTACTGTCATATTACTTCAATATATAATAACCAATCCGTACTTATGGATTAACTAATTTAGACACTGAAAGAAGATGTCTGATATTAAATTGAAAATAGAAAAATAGATCAGGGAAAGTGTCTGAGAAAATATTTCTGAATAATTAACTAATTTTAGATTGCCCCCAAATGCCTCTTATTTTGTCAGTATTGTTGTTTGTTGTTGTTGCTTGTTTTTTCCTTTAGTGCTTTCCACTCAATTTGTGTTAAACCCATACATGAAGACTTCTGAGAGGAAGTGTTATTGGTCCATTTTAGGATGGAATTAATAAAGCTATGGAGCTGCCATTTTGGGGACCCTAGAAGACTAGCAGTTATTTCTCCCTAAATGCTGATGGTAATTTAGGTCTCCCACTCCTTTATGAGCCACCTGTGGAGGAGCAGCATTCCCACCATGTGCACAAACCCTGCACACACAAGTAACTGTGAGAAAGCAGCATCTGCCAGCTCCAAATAGTTTGCAAGTGTGAGGATGTTATTTGTCTGGGTAAGTGCAATTGAGGGACTGCAGGTGCACTTTATGTTTACTTATATTCATGCAGTACATTTGCACAACACCAGGGACCCTGTCTCATTACAGTAGTGAAGTTATTACATTTGACAACAATTGTTGAACAAAGTTTGTGACCCAAGACCAGATGTACAGACAAATGGAAATACCCAGGTCCTCCAAGACATTTCTGAGGTGCTGCCTAACACAGAGATTTCTCATTCCTGTTTTAAAATCCTCAGAAGTGAAGCTCTGAAACGTCTCTAAATGCTGGTTCAGGTGCAGAACCAGCACATTCCTCCCCAACCCAGAGGACTGGCTCAGGGCAGGACTCCCATCTGGGGCACCTCACCCAAGCTTTCCCATTTCTCATCAAGAGTCAGGCTCAAACCCTGGCTACATTCAGGCAGGGTGGGATGCTGGATCTGGGCCTGGGTGCTTTTGTATTCCTGGACAAGGGTACAGGGTGAGAAGAGCTGTCCTCTTTTCTTTCATTTCACCCATGAGAAGAGATGGCATTCAGACAATTCCCTTCCATGAGCTATGTGTGCTAAATAGGATGTGAGCTCCTTCTTAGCCACATATCTGAGCTGCTGGCAGATAAAATTAAGTCCACATTTACCCAATCAGTGTTTTTTACCAGCAAACGGCAGTTGCAAACAGGGTGTGGGTCTGTAACTCTCATTTTTTCCTTACACATTTTACAGACAATTGGGTGCCTAATTCAGGAAGCTAGAAGTACATGAATAAGGTTAAACAAATTAACTTATGGGGCCCTACCTACACATCATTTGCTGCTTTCCTGATGTTCTAGAAGCACCAGAATTAGCCTGTCAGAACTGATTTTAGGGCAGGAGCTCTGGAGTTCAACTACAACACCTGCCTGTAATCACAGCACTTTGCTGTGCTCATCATGCACTCATTACTAGAGCCAAAAAGTCTGCACTTGACAAGGCCCATCAGCTGGCCCTGTTAAGCCAAGATCCCTGCAGAAGACCTGTTCAGAGTGATGTCAAGTAGTGGCCTCAGACAGAACCACAATATTCTGAGTTCTTTAATTCCTACCCCATAAAACATCATTTTCCAAGAGAACTGCATGTCCAAGATAGTTCTCAGCCTTCTGAAAAAAGGTCTTAATGAGAAAACCAAGAGTCCCTTCAGTGGAATTACATTTGAAAATGGAAGCACAGCAAGGCAATTTGCCTCAGTAACTAATTTCTGATGTCTGTAACTAGAAGCATCAATACTTTAGCAGCCACTGCTTTAGATAATTGGAAATTAGGATGATTCTTTCACAGAAACTGGTGTAAAGGCTGACTCAGCCTGGATTTCCACACTGTGGGTTCCTTTTTAGTGTCAAAATGAAAAGACTTGTGGAAGGATTTTCTACCCATGAATCAGAGGAAATAATTCATTATTGCGTTCAACCCAGAAAAAAAATCTATTGCAAAAGAGGTAGGAGACTGTGTTTAATCTGAGCAAAGGTTGCTCAAAGTTTGTTTAAAAAAAGAGAAGCTTAAAATGTTCTGGCCCTTTCAACCATTAAAAATTCATTAGTGTTGCCAAGGTAGCCTGAAAACTTCAGGGGGCACAGTGTCTTAATTTGGTTATGTCTGCACACTTTTGGCAAGCTATGTTATCTCTTAGCAACCTGCTCTGTTATCATTTATTATCATTTCACAGAGTGGAAAGCACTGCATACACTGGCAATGTCTGAAGAAGTGTGAGTGATACTTTTCAGAGGATATATGAACTTTTCCATCAGATTTTAGTACATGGAAGCTCAAATCCTTATGCTTTCCTAGGACTTTGATAGAGAGGCTGAGAAAGCCTGTAAACCACAGACTATTTCCTTCTTAAAAAGAACTCCCTTAGCAGAATAAATGATTATTATTACTATGCAGGTAATCAGCAGCATAGCCTCCAAGGAAACCACAATGTCAGACAATACTTTCAAGGTACTTTAAAACTGACACACTTACAGCTCTTACCTTTTTGAGGCAGTAGAGCAGAACTGCAGACATGGCTAGGTAGCAGTTTCTCTTCTTGGAAGTATTCAAGGCTGCAATAGAGGAAGTTTTTCTTCTTTGTGCAGCTTTCTTCCTGCACTTTGTGGCTGTGACAATGCCAGCAAATCTCCTGCACAGAGGGAGGCCTGGAGAAGCTGGGTCCAGAGTGTTCCCACTCACCTAAATCCAAGGCTGTGTTCCTGGGTATTTCAGTGAACTCTCAAAGCAGCCTCAACAAAGAGTGATGGGAACCACCAGTACTGTTCCCTCTGTTCTCCTTTTCCACTACTTTATTATTCACCTCTACCTTACACCAAGATTTGCAGATTTGCAGTTTGGCCTGGGGGACTCTGTTTTGCTGCCTTGCAAGTTAATGAAATTTTGCACATTGGCAGTTTTCCTCTTTGGGCTGCTGAGACCTGTAATACACAAACACAGATTTACCCGGGGGGAGGAAGCAGCCAGAGGTCAGTGTCCTCCACACTCACTCTCCTTGCAGCACCATCTGCTTCAAGTCCCATCACAAGCAAAAGGCTGTGCAGATAAATAGTCACTTTTGTCAATATTGAAGGGACCCCACACTAGCACAGGTGTCCCCGTACATACTGAGGAGCTAGAGCAAAGCATATCCTTCCAACACGAATCTGCATGGTCCAGTTTAGGATCAGGGGTCATTTCTTATCATCCCAATTGCTCCCTGAATTTTGTTTTGCTGGCATTTCACAGAAGACACCTTGATTATCATTGGCGTTTCAAATGTACAACAAATGGTGTTGCAAAATACTCAAGAATAAATCACTCTCCACATACAAATGTCATAAAATTGAACAAGTCATCTGAATAACAATTTGCACTAAAAATAATTTTCTACTCTTTCTTTTATGAGCATTATCTGCATGACTGTCTGTAGATACACATTTAAAGTAAATATTATTAAATGATTTCTCATTTCTTTATACAGCATTATCTTTTCTATCTGAAATGAAATCACTGTGTTTTCCCTTCATAATTTCCCCCTTCTCTTGTGATCAAGAGAGAGATGAGAGCATCTAAGAGAATTTGCTTAATTGTAGGTTTAACTCCAGCAATTTTTCAATCTGTCTGCCTCCATTTTAATATTTATAAAACATTAGCCATGGTAGACTGTAGATTCAGTTCACGCATTTTTGGACCTTATATATTTCAAATTAAGGAAAACAATAAACAAAAATATTATTCCTTCAACAGTTTGTTTTTTGAAACTATGATTTTGCTAGCTGTCACAAAAGCAATACTCCCACAGAAGCTGAAGTAGGAGAAACAAGACATAATACTCTACCAAGCAGAACACAAGGGCAGTGGATGTTACCACTGCCAAGCAGAGCAGATACTTTTTGCAGAGAAATGTAGGTGCTGCAGGACCCTGATGTTGTGGTGATGAGAGCAGAACTTGCTGTAGTAATGCTGATAAAATATACTGAGAACATCAGTAATTTTTTTTATTCATACAGGATGACCTCCAGAACATCCGTGCAGGGTTTTAAAGCTCACTGAAAAGCTCTGAAATCAATGACCACTGCATCAAGCTGAGGGCTGGTCATTCTCAGTGAATGGGCTATTGCAGAGAAATTTCACTCCAACCTGGCTGATGGCTCTCGTGGTTCTGTGTAAGTTCCTTCCAGTGGCTCCTGGCTGCCAGGACCTGGTCTCAGGAGCAGTCCTGTCTTCATGCACTGCTGTCTGTATTCTCCTCCTGAATCCCAGCTTTCTGGACCATTTTGGCAATGCTCCTTAGCATGTAATTATTTTCCCAAAACTAAGAAAATGAGCAAATCCTACTGAATTTCAGCACCGTAACCCTGTATTTTCTGGTCTTCCTCCTAAATCATAAGGAAGAAATTCTTTATTATAAGAGTCATTAGGTTTCCCAGATGGTAGATGCCCCATCCATGGAAACATTCCAGGTCAGGATGGGCAGGGCTGTGAGCAATCTGATCTGGCTGAAGAAGCTCCTGTTCACTGCAGGGGGGTAGGACTGGATGGCCTTTAAAGGTTCCTTACAACCCAAAGTATTCTGTGAGTGTCTGGCATGCTCCTTTGGGTGTCCCAAAGGCTACATCCTCTGGTCTAAATGAACATGCATTCCATGTGCACTGCAGCATTTCATTAATCCAGCAGGGATGGAGGACGGGCCAAGCTCCATGTGGGAGTTATAAAGTTATGCTCAAGGGAATATGGCAAGATTCAGATTTACAGCAAAGTTCTCAGTGTTCTTCAAGCTTTGCAAAAGCAGGATTCACTGTTTTATTTTGCAAGGAGATGCTGAACAAAATCAGGCTTTTATCTGAAATTTTATATTGAAGCATCTTTATTGCATCTCTACAAAACAGTAAAAGAGTGAACGGACAGATGTCCTAATAATAGCTTGATTTGAAGTGCAAAGTGGGTTGAAGTACTCAGCATGCCATCTTCTAATCAGGAATGAAGGTTTTAATGCAAGGCTTCCTGACAATCACAATTTTGTAATGCTTACATAAATGGCTCTGTAGATGTGTGTATGTTTTTTTAATTTACTGCGTGGGTAAAGGAATGTACTTCCCGGTGATGCAAAATAGGGTCTGACTACAAATGCAGCAAGGGCTTTCTGCCCCTGTGAAAAAATTTGTCTGATCATATCAGAAAGCCCCCTCATTTACAGAAATATCTTGTAGTCTGGAGCACTCCAGCACTCCATCTGCCTACACCCTGAAGTAACCTCCTTGCACCTTGAACTCTTAGGGACAGCTCATGTAAAAGATCCCATTTCACATTACCTTTAACTTTGTGCCCTCAGGAGACAGTCAGAGGCACAGAAAGGATACACAGATTAGGCAGATATTCTTCATCTCACCTTTATGCACAACTTTCTCTTCTCCACCCCTCTGCAGATAATTGGAAGTTATTTAGAAAGTTACTGAAAGAACATAGCCAAAACAAGAAATTATTTATGTTTCTTCCCTCAGCCACACTGCTGAGCTACACTGCCAGGCCTCTCAAACTTCTGAAAAATTAGAGAAAAGAAAAAAATTGCTCTTCATTACATTTTGCCAATGGAACAATCAATAACAATAAGGAAAATAGGATAGATATTGCATCCCAAAGTATTTTCAAGCTCCATTTCTGACAGGTAGATCAAAGATCATTCCAGAAGTCCTGTCCACCTTAATTCACTAATATTCTAGAAGTCCTCTAGAAGGAGGAAAGGAGCAAGATACATGTCAGATGGTCTTACCACTAAAGTAAATCAAGAAAAATCTGTGGCAGCTCCACAATACTTCTGGTTAATGTTTAGTCAGGAGGAGAAGTCTGGCTGCAGGGTCTTTGATCCATGAATATATTTGCAGTAATTGGGGTCATGGCAATTCCTGTAGCTAATGCAATTTAAAAGGCCAAAGTCAGTAACCCCTGAGTAATTTGGGCTGTTAGTGGGCAAATGACACGCTTTGGAGCAATGTCATCATATCAATTACGTGAGGTGAAATCTAGAGGTGAATATTTGTAGGAACAAATAAGAGCTCAATCAAAACTTGGGATAAACCATTACAAGCTTAGTCCAAAATCCCAGATCTGGTCAGTTTATTGCTCACCAGTCACTTGAGTTCAGGGAGAAGCCCCTGGAGAAGTCACTCCAAGCCACAAAGTGAAGCCACATGGCAGCAGCGGCACCATTTCTGCCAGCATGAGAGGGGAAGGAGACTGCTGCTAACACAAACCGCTCCTCCACGGGGGAAAGGTTGGTTTTGGTGAAGTCTGGAAGGAGAAGGAAAGAAGGAAGAGCCACATTTTGTCCCAAACTAACGCACCAGTTCAGGATGTCCCCCCTGGGCGCAAAGTTGCACTTCAACCCTTCCAAAAGAGTAATTGCAAGAGTAACCAGGACAAGGTGTACAGCACCAATATCTTACCTTCAGCTCTGTGCTGAAGGACATGCTGCATAGAAGAGCAACAAAATAATCCAAAATAATCCTGCCAAAGAACAATTGTGCCCCCAAAAACATAGTTCTACAAAGAAAATAATCATGCTTTCATTAAGAGATTAAATCAATCCAGCCCAGAAAGGCATTATCAATATGAAATAGCATACATTCCCATCATTCCCATCCACAGACCCTGTTTTCCTAAATATTTGCAAATAGATCAAATGGTGCCAGAGCCCCTTTCTTAGATTGCAAAAAAAAAGTCACCTTTTTTCAGGGATTAATTATTAACTATACTAAGGAGAAATTGCAGCAGCCAACAATTATCTTATTCTCCCAAGTCCTATTCACAGTGAAGATGATATTGTATGGAAATTTATCCTGCATAATTATCACCATATGCTGTCTCAAAGGGTTCCAATGCACTTTAGAAATAGCACAATACTGGCTCAGGTACGAGCCAAACCATGTCCTCTCTGCATCTGCAGAGAAATCACCGTGGCTTTTCCTCACTGTTCAGATACAGTCCTGGCTGGAAGTGGTCTGGAGCACTGGCAAGGAGACAGGGCCATGTTTCCTGCAGAGGACCATTGCTCCAGGGCCCTGATGCACTTGGAGCCTGCAGAACTCTCTGCTTGCAGTGCCACAGCAGGAGAGCACACACTTCAACAAGCCATTCCCATCTCTCACCACATGACAACTAACTCTTGCTCTGTGGGTAGCCACTCCACTACCTAGTACATGATTTAAGCTGTTCAACATCTATTTTTTTCAGGGCCTGCAGAAGAGCTCTATTTCTTCATCTCACATATTTCTAACTATCCTGGAAATTTTCAGGCAGAAGGCAGATGCCTGAGGAAATATCACTCCATGATATGCAGTGAAGATAGAATTTTGTATACATAAGTACTTAGAAACATAAACACATAATGGAGACCTTTCATTCTTCGTGTATAGCTCATTGACTGACAATAAGTTATTGATCTATTATACTTTGAAAGCATCTTTTTACTTACATAAATTGTCCCTTTCTGACTGGGACTGAACACAACATCGATTTTCCCCAGTGAATACAGGCTGTGGTTTAAAGCAGAAGGGATAATCCTGAGCTCATCCCTGTCCTGGTCTTTTGCAATGGTTGTGTTGGGTTGCAGACTTTGCCTTAGCAAACTGGCGCCCTAATGGAGTTGGTTCAGAGCAGCCCATATTCATCTCTCCCCTCCTCTTTGCTGGTAGGTTGTGACATTCACCTAGGAAGGAGTCATATAAAGATCCCTCAGGTTACAAATGACCCCCACAAATTTAATTTCCAACTCCCTGGGTTTTGGCATCAGAGCTGAAAGAGCAATGGTGATATTTGACTTTACACACAGAAGGACCCACCAAAGTAAGGTCACTGTTTCCTCATTTTCCTAAATAGAACTAGTTTGAAGGTAGTAAAAAAATCCCACATCTGAATACTTAATATTCATAAGACGTTTAGTCGTATTTCAACAACCTTGACTAAATGATAGAGAATGTGATAGCACTGTGGTTACAGCTTATTCTAATGATCAAAGCACTTCATCATTGGGGAATAAATGTTCTACCTAATCAAAAAAAAAATGTTAATCCCCAAACAAATTTATTACTTAGAAGAAAAATTCACTTAAAATTGTCCCATTAACTCTGTAAAAAGAAAGTAGGTAGTTTATATTGTATCATAGATTTTGAAACTATCCTGCAGTATATTTAGCTGAAACAGCTTGAGTGAAAACTGGGAATAAACATTAGTTTCTGCAGTTTGAATATCACTGTGGAATTTTCCCAGCTGTACAGTGCAGTACACAGTACACCCCGTTCACAGTAGTTTACAAGCTTCTTCCCTCTAAAATGACACATATGCTGGGAAAAGAACTGACCTTCGGTTTAATTTACAACTCAGATTGATCTGTCTTCTCCATGTCAAAACCTTTGGTTTTTTGACCTACCAACACAAGCAGATCCTTTTTACATTACTCAACCCTGCTATCTGCAGCTCTCGAGTGAAGTCATTACTCCCTTACCTGAGGACAGCATGCTTGGCAGATTTTTCACATCCTGGCAGGTCCTTTAGGCTCCATTCCCAGCTTAACAAGAATTTTAAAGCTCTTCGTTCCAGAGAATCCCCTTGCCATTGAATCCCGAGTGGTGTTCAGAAAGCATGCACTGTCTTCAGCCTTCCAAGATACATCTCCAAATCTCCTCCTAGGAGCAAGCACTTTACAGTGTTCCAGTCACAGAGCTTTGGAGGTTAGATTTGCTTTTCTACTTCTGTTTATACAGGAGTGACATCTCCATTGGAATGCCCCATGAATTCCTCTATTTATGAAATGCCCGCAACACCTAGCACTGGAGTGGTTTCTCTTCATATCTCACCTGGATTTCTGTTTTCCATAGTGAGACAGTACACTGGATTTTTATTTTTAATTTAATAGATATATTTAGTGAAGGGGAAAGCTTTGCTACTGGAAAAGAATGGCAGGAATGTCTGAGATAATTAGTGTAAATTCCTAATCACTTGTAAAATCAAAAAGTAAAGATACAATTCTGAATTTTAATCCCCCTTATGTATTGGGACTGAATTGATCCATCTTTTATATAAAATGAGCAGAAAAAAACCTACAGAATTTTTTTAATTAACAAGAGGATGGATGCATGGTTTTTACTTGAGATTTTTGCTGCCGGAAAGATGGATTAGAAAGCTATCAGGGTAGGACTCGTTCATTCTTGGTATGTAGAGCACATATAACATGACCATGAACCTCATAGCAACATAATATGCTAGTGAAAAATTCTGGAATTGAGGACAAAATGAAATTATTCATTGTTGAGATGTACAGAATTTCCATAGTGCAGAAGACACAGTGCACAGTTCTCTACCACTCTTTTCCTAATCTAAGCAAGCAGCTGCCATGCTATTAATTTGAACTTATCACATATTCCAGTTGATTTTATTAGGTTTGTTGTTACTGGTGATGATCTAACCTCCACTGTGTTTCTCTAGGATGAAAATATGGAAAGAGAGGAGCTGATACCCATGAGAACAAAGATAAATTAGCGGAAATAAATTATCCAGTTTCATGTATCAAAGTTTATTGGAAATAAAAGCAAGAACATTTATCAAAAGATCTGGAGAACACGTGATCCTTGACTGTCAGTCTGTATTCATTTACAGAAGATTTATCATTCTCAGGGGCTTAATACATTTTTACAGTCACTTGACTAGATAGTCATTAATCATAGTACATTTTCAAGATCCTAACTAAACTACAAATTCAAAAAGTAATAATTAAAATATTTTAAATTGTGTCCTTATGAGTCTTGATTCAAGGGGCACCTGGGGACATGCCATAGTTGCTAACAGGTTTGCTTATCTACCTGATTACAGTTAATCATCTTTCTGAAAATCATCTGTACCTTTCAATTTCATTGCATAAAAGAAAACTGGATCAAAAGACTGAATGAATTCACAAGTGCCTTTTCACTGATTTTAATTGACTCTCTGGTGCTTTCAGTAAGAGCAAATAGTGTGACCACCCAACTCACAAACTAAGCAGCAGCCCTAGAAAATTAACAGTAAAGGGGGATGATTTCTGTACACAGAGCAAGTGAACAGCCCAGGGTCTTTCCAACTTGGAAAAGAAATAAGAATATACCTAGAGCTGCACCAGACCTTATGGGCACTGCTGTTAAAATGCTTCCCAAGCATCATTCCCTGTGATCAGAGACAGGATAGAGAGCTCTGGGGACCTCACTGACTTGTCTGTAGCTATCATTCCTGCAGAATTCCACAGTTCTGTTTCTTTACTGACCCAGGAATTAATCAAGAAATGCTCTTCTTGACAATAAGCTTTTTAACTAATTTGTAATAAATTTTGAAGAATGGGAAAAGTTGCTGTCCTGACATTGTTATTTTTTTAAAGCATTTTCTGTATTCTTTCTCTATCTTTGCATATTCTCGAAGTGTGAAACCATTCTACCAACATTTGACTTCTTTCAGTATCATCTTCCCTGACTCTCACTCCAAGTAAACAGGAAAAAATATCAGATATTATTATAAACATTATACAAATTATAAAAGTAAGCTGTTCTGTGCTACACATGAATAAAAGGCCTTTGCTATAATTAGTCTGCAGTGTAGAGAAGAAGTAAAAATAGAAAAAGAAAATACAACACAGGAGCTCAGAAATTAACAAGACAACACAGCATCTAATGGTGTTATAGGTCAAAATCTTTGCAAAAGGGATTTTCTTTTTCTGGGCAGAAAGAATTGGTGCATTACTGAATTTTGTATTAGGGTGGCAGCTAAAAGCCAATCCATCTGTTCTTTTTCACTCTTACTGGTACCTGAGGAGAACAGCATAGGCTTCAGTAGAGTCCTCTCTGTTGGAAGATGCAGGTAAAAACCTGGGCACCCAAAAGTCACTAAACCTGAAGCAAATTTTAGGCCTTCCAGAAGCAGTTGTTTCATGTCAAAGTCAATTCTGGATCAATCAGCTCATAGTTCTCAAATGTTCATTGGAAATTCATGCCTGTGCTTGTCAGGCCAAGGCAAATTAGAAGCACTTTGTGCAGTTTGGAAAAGCCACTTCCCAGAAAACTTCTGATTATCCTGTTTGCCACACCACACCTGGCAGAGACATACTCCTGAGCCAAAGGGCAACAGTATGAAAGGAATTCCTGTCCTTTTGAGAATTTTTTTAATTATCTAAGGCCCATGGACAGAATTCTCTGCACCCAAACTGTTCCAGATCCTGTAAGAAGGAACATACAGTGCAAACTCAATGGATTTCAACTTTGTATCTGTAATTG